GTCATAAATTATGGTAAAAACTAGAACTATAAGTAAAAGTAGGTGTGTATTTATTTATTTATTTGAATATTTATTCTGGTGTTAAATTCACATTGGGCTTTTTAAACGTTGGACCTGGACTTGGACTTGGACCTGGACCTGGACCGGTCCGTCTCTCTGAAGGACGTTTGATAAAAGTTTATTATGTCAATAAGTAATCTTTAGATTGACGGATGATTAACAGACTCACACAAACTGCTTCAGGTTTCCAGACTTCTTCTCGGTTATATAGTTACTTGGGATGTAGCCTTCCTCGCTGAAAAAAACACAAACGGGTCAGAAAAACAGAACCAAGTTTCTGCTGCGACCCGCTCACGTTAGGGTTCTGAAGGTTCTGCAGCTAAAATAAAACATCATGAAGAGAAAAAAAACTGGTTCCAGATCCTGATCCAGCAGAAACTCTCAGTGGTTCTGTGTGGTTTTTTTTTCTTTCTTTCTCTCTCTCGCTGCAGTGCATTCTGGGTAAAAACGGTCTGGTTTTGTCCCAGAAGTCTTTTGGTTCCTTCAGATGTTGACTGAGGCCTGTAGAGTCTGAGATGGAGCTGACTGCACAGTCTGACCTTCGGGGTGAAGACTGTCAGCTCTCTAAAATCTTTCCCTCTGTAGATTGATGGACTTTAAATGACCTTTGACCCTTCCCAGATTGATGACCGATAACAGCTGCCTCTCTGGGCTCATTGCTGAGGTCTTCCCATCTTGGCGTTACCATGGCAACACGCACCTGTAGCTCCAGGCGGAGGTGGTTCCACTGGTCCTGAACCTCTGAGGTCCTGAGGAAGCAGCAGGACTGGAACCAGTTTTTGTTTCTGTCAGTGGTGGGCACAGCTAACCACTAATCTGCTAAACAAGAATCGTAGCTATGCTAATGCCAATGTTAAAGCTAATGCTAACGCTAACGGTAAACATATATATTTTTTAATGAATCGAAGCTAGTGCTACCCAGCACCGCCTATAAGAGGGGATAGTTAATTTAATTTCAGATAAAAATAACAAAAATAGTAATTTTATGCATGTAGATTTTTGTTGTTCATTGTGCTCTGTACAATGACAATAAAGTTCCATCTTATCTTATGTATTTTTTAGTGAACTCTAAATTAGTGGAACCTAATTTAGTGGAAGCTAATTGGTTCACAAACGCTAAAACAGATTTTAAAAAATTAGTGAAAGCTAGCGATACCCAGCACTGCTTATAAGAAGGGATCATTTATTTAAGTCCAGATAAATGGCATAAAACATTTAAATCTGTAATTCTTTTAGTGGACTCTAAATTAGTGGAACCTAATTTAGTGGAAGCTAATCGGTCCGCTAACGCTAAACAGATTTAAAAAAAAAACGAGTGGAAGCTAGTGCTTCCCAGCACTGCTTATAAGAGGGGATAGTTTATTTAATTCCAGATAAATAGCATAACAAATAAATTTTACACTTGTACATTTTTAGTGGACTCTAAATTAGTGGAACCTAATTTAGTGGAAGCTAATTGGTCCACTAATGGTTTCCAAACTTTGCAAAAAAGCTAATCCACTACATGAGAAGCTAGTTTTGCTATTAGTGGATTAGCAGGACTGTGCTCCCCACTGGTTTCTGTTTCATGAGTAATGACTCATCAGAATCTGCTGGGTGGGATTTTTTCTTTTTGACTCGAGGTTAAATTTGAATAATTTTTGAGGCTGTGAAGGACCTGATCAGTTTTCTTGTCCTGACCCTGAACCCTCAGGTCTGTGGGGTTCAGGTTTTAGAGTCTCAGCAGGAGAAGATGAGCTTCTGATTTATCTCAGAGCCTTCGTTGAAATGTCGTCAGTGTTCAGACTCACCCATACTTGTTCCGAGCTCGGTACCAGTTGGGGTCACATTTCTCCAAGACGACGTACTCGCTTCCTTTGGTCAGACTCAGGTCGTGAGCCTCCACCCCGGGGAAGTCGAACAGAGCCACCACCACCTCCTCGTCTTCATCAATTTCTGGTGGGGAGGGGGTAATGGGGGGCTGGCAGGGGAACAGAAGAGTTTTTAATTTGTTTTCTTGGTGTCTGATTCAGGATGTGTTTCTTTTTACTTACAGCTCTTTTGCTTTCGGGGATCTTTGGTAAAGGTTTTCCGGAGTCTAAAACAAGAGGAACAGAAACACCCAGTCAAGCAGAAAATGTTACTTTTTTCTGTTTAGTCTTCAGGAATTTCTCCATCGCAGAAATCGAACAAAACCTTGTTAATCTGATCACAAGAAACAAAACGGCTTTCGTCTAATTTCCTGTTGTCATTTCACAACTAATCCTGAGTTATTTATTTAAAGAAGACTCTCAGAAACCTGCTGCTTCAGATTTAATGATATTTGATTTGATTGTGATTTTTTTAAGCACTAAAGTTAGTCACAGAGTTCCTCAGGGTTTAGTGCTCGGCCCAGTTCTCTATTTTACGCTTCTTTTAATTTGTTGAGTCATCACTGGTTCATCTTTGAGTTTAGTTTTCTGTCTGAATCACTCTTAGGTTTGATCAAAGCGGCTCAACAAAAGTAATAATCGAAGTCCATTTTACAAAGACTGTAACATCTGAGAGGACAGGAAATAATGAACGTCTCTCACCACCGAACAGCTTGTACTGCTCGCAGCCCAGCGCCTGCTTCTCCACCTGCCGACAGCAGAGCCACGACCCGTCCTGCCAGAACTGAGGGTGGTACTTCATGAACACGTTGGGGTTGTTTTTGATCTCTGGGTGCAAACAAACAAAAACAGATGATCAACATAGGCTGTAAATAGTCACGTCATTTTTCTTCATTTGTTCATTTTTTTTCTTCATTTTTTTCTTCTCGTCAGTTATCATAAAAACTGGTTTTCTGGGAACATTTTGCACGAAAAGTTAGGTAATTTGTGTTTGGTAGATTATGTCTTTGTTTTAACGATGCTTCTTGGCAATAAATCTTATGACTGGCGAAACCTGGGGGGACCAGAAGCTCCAAACAAATATACCAACAACAAAATAATCTGTTTGACTTAGAAAATCTGATAGAGCTTTAAGCAGCAATAATGTCCAGAACAGAACCAGACCTGCTTCTGATGCTGGTTAAATACTGACTTTCAGCCTCTGAGCTAAGAGATTTCTACAGATTATTATAATCTGTTGATCAGAAACTGGAGATGATGGAGATTCAAATTGAGGAAACTTATTTTGAAATTTTCCCACGATTTTAAACCCAATTTCATTTAGACCAGGGGTTTTCAAACTTTTTTTGCATTCGGCCCACAAAACAACAGCTGCAGAAACTCATAACCCCAGATATTACTTGTTTAAGTGTGCAAACTTTGCTAAATGTGGGAATAATAACTATAAACAAACCTAATAACTACAATACTATAGTTATTCATTTGATTATTATAGAAAGAAATGCAATAATCATGGTGAAAATATTCGGTTAGCAATTTATTTGCATTTAAATTGATGTCTGGAAATCATCTGAGGACACTCACTTGATGTTCCGTGACCCACAAAGGGGTCTTGACCCCAACTTTGGGAACCACTGATTTAGACTGCTGAAACTCTGCCCATCTTTACTTCTAAAAGTTTCATTAATTAACTTAATTAGTTACAAAATTCTCCTCCAGGTGTATTTTTTATATATATATATTAAATCTGTTTATTAAGTTCCATTGTGGATAAAATATGAGTTTAAGAGATTTGAGGAGCAAAATGCCCCACTTTAAAGAAAGTGGGGCAGGAGATGCAGCTGACGTGGTTTGATGTGAACCAGGCAGCGATGGAAACGAGGGCATGTGTGAAAACCAGCCTGGAGTGTGGTTCAAAGTGTGAAAACATTCAGAACAATCAAAAGTTTCTGCTTCCTCGTTCAAACCTGAGATCTTTATTTTAGAGGTGTGTAAGAGTGAACTTAAGGTGAATTAAGCTTTCCCCACATCTCTCATACACAAGGTTATGAGGAAACTTTTACCAAGGTATTTCTACTTGTTAATATCTTGACTGTGCGAAGGGAAAAGTGACACAATAAGTGAACGTTCAGACGAGTTCAAGTTGATTCATAAAAGACTATGCAATCATTTATTTACACAAATTGAACAGATCATAAGTTACACTTGATTGTGGTTATTCCTATAACAAGCATCAGAGTTAAATGAGATAAAAACCCGTGTTCGAATTTCAATTCACATCAACTCAGATTACTTATATACAGTGGTTTGCAAAAGTATTCATACCCCTTGAACTTTTCCATAT